TTTTTAACAAAAAAACGAAGTCCAGATGACATGATTCAACCTTTTTTGTTGCCGTAAGATTTGTTTCACACAGTTTTGACAAAAAGAAAATGTTTCTGCCAGAGTGTCCCAGGCTACACCAGAAGAGCTACAGCTAGTTGCTGTTGTCAGTATTTTGCTTAAAAATAGCAACATTTACACAAACCACACGAACTTGAAGAGTTGTTTTTTTTGTTATTGTTTGTTTTAAAAAGCAGCAATCCTTACTGCTCTTGGCTGTGATTGGACTAGCCATTAGCTCATCATTTTGGTGAGAATTAAACTTTCTCCAAACTGAGGTAGTTCAAAGAGCTGTTAATAACCACCCAATATCCATCCATTATCTTCAGCTTGTTCTGAAGTCGGTCACGGGGGCAGCAGCTTGAGCAGGGAGGTTCAGACATCTCTTTCCACAACCACCTCTTCCAGCTCTTCTGGGAGGACTCCAAGGTGTTCCCAGGCCAACCGAGAGACATAGTCACTCTAACATGTCCTGGGTCTTCCCCGGGGTCTCCTCCCAGTTGGACATGCCTGAAGCACCTCCCGAGGGAGATGCCCTGGAAGCATCCTTACCAGATGAACCACCTCAACTAGCTCCTCTCGATGTGGAGGAGCAGGGTTCTATTCAGAGTCTCTCCTGATAACTGAACTTCTCACCCTGTCTCTAAGGGAGAGTCCAGCTCCCCTGTAGAGGAAACTCATCTCTACTGCCTGTATCCATGATCTCATTCTTCCGGTCACCACCCAGACTTCATGACCATGCTGCACCAATTAAGAGTTGCATTCGGGCCTAAAAAATCTGACCCAGCCTGGTCTGAACTCGACCCGAAACTGACCAATTAACTGTGATTACAGGCCCAAACCTTGACAGGGGTGCTGGAAGGTGTGCCAGCTGGGGACTCCTTTATTCTTCTGGGGGACTTCAATGCCCATGTTGGTAATGACAGTGTGACCTGGACTGACGTGATTGGGAGGAACGGCCTCTCTGATCTGAACCCGAGCAGTGTTGTTGGACTTCTGTACTGGTCATAGTTTGTCCATCACGAACACCATGCTCGAACATAAGGGTGTCCATACTTGGCACCAGGACTGAAGCTTAGCTGACATTTTTAATAACATCTTTCAACTGGCCAGTCAGCGTGCGGTCAATTGGCCGTGTGCAGCTGGTGATCCAAATTGGACTGTCAGCTGCGTATGTTCGCTGATGCAATCAAAAGCCTGACATCGACACATGCCGGCCCGTCCAGCACAATGTTTTGGCCCGGCCTGAATTCCGGGTCAGGCCGGGCCTCGAGCCCAGGTTAGAAATGTCAGCTCTACCACCAATCTGTCTGTCAATGTCACGCTCCATTCTTTTCTCACTCATGAACAAAACCCTGAGATAAATGAACTCCTCCACTTGAGGCAGAACCTCGACCTGAGGAGAACAATCCACCCTTTTCCGGTTGAGGACCATGGCCTCAGATTTGTATGTGTTGAGTCTTATCCCAGCCGCTTCACTCTCAGAGAGCTGAGGATCACGACACGATGACGCCAACAGGACCACATCATCTGCAAAGAGCAGAGATGGATCCTGAGGCCACCGAACCAGAATCCCTCCGCCCCCGGCTGCACCAAGAAATTCTGTCCATAAAAGTTATGAACAGAATCGGTGACAACAGCCTACACTGGTGGAGTCCAACTCCCACCCTGAAGGGGTCCGACTTACTGCCAGCAATACGAACCAAACTCTCGCACTGTACTGAACAGCCCGTAACAACGGGCTGGTAATAACCGGTTCATTAATTAACTACTTGTTCATAACTTGTTCACAGAGCCTTACTTCCAACTGGCTGAACTATCCCTTTATCTATCTGAACCAGTGAAGTTTGTGTTCTTCAACCGTCACTTCTGTCTTTATAAATCATTATTAGTTTCTGTTTGGTATTGTTGCAGTGGCTCCGGTCACATTTGAGCTAGAAGAGCATCAACCCAGTGTCCATGTTGTTCTAGCTGTCCTCAGATATTAGGCTCTGCTCTCTCTAATTGTGTTTCAGCCGTTGTAGATACACAAGTGAGCTGAGGACAAACTGAGGTGTGACGTCACTGACCGGGCAGAGTTTACCTGAGCAGGTGCTGCTTTCTGCAGATCATTACTGTCTGAAGGAGGTTCCGTCTCTCCGGGTCTCTCCATCACAAAGGTTTCCTGCTTAAAAAATACATGAACAGAATACGAGTAAAGGTTTTACTCACGTTAACACGAGGTTAGAAGAGTTAGATGAGACAACCTGAAACAGCCAAAAGCTTCACGCTTCTTTTGTTTCTAAAGTGCTTGGATGTGTTTGCCTCATTTTAAAGCATCACATCAACATTTTACACCGAATCAATTTGAATAACGAGTTAGTGATCATGCCTCTGCTTCAGCTCTCGGTCTCCTCCGTCTCATCTCCTGGTGGTACTGCAGTCTGATCACATCCAGCTGACGCAGATACTCCTGCAAACAGGCTCATCTCTTCACTCTTGCAAACAAACTTCCCTTTCACTACTTTCTGTGGTAGTTCTGTTCCTAACGGGTCTCACCAGCTGTCCCTCATGCTTCCTGTCCTGGGGAGGGGGTTCAGGTCGACCCACCCCCTGCTCCGGACCACCAGGCCTCCTGTGGGACTCAGCTGTACACGGACGCAGACCCTGATGGTGATAAGTTGTTCATTTTGCTGATAACTTTCCAAATTTATGATTTAGAAAACCTAACACTGATCACCCTCTGTCTGAAGTTACAGATTCATAAATGTTGGTTCACCAGCAGTCCAACCTCATAGTGACCACTTTATGAAACGTGACTCGGAGGTTCTTCCTACCAGCTGCTTCTCTGCCCGCAGCTTGTACTGGTTGGCCTCCTGCCTCCTCTGCAGGTACTCATTACGAGCTGCAGCCACACTGACAGCCACGAGAAGGAAACATTAAGGTTCACATATGTAACTCATTTCACTAATAAATAAAAAGATCTATAAAACACTCTGCACTGTACACATCACTAGAGACAACCGCACATTATCAGTTAATACACTTGTTTTTTGATCATTGACTCTGTTTGCTGTTCATTAATGAAGAAAATAGTTGTTTTTCCACTCACAGCTGGTATGGTTCTACAGGAGGACCTGCTTGGTCTTCACATCCCAGCATCACATCCTTCACGTTCTCGCGAGGAGCAGCAGGAGGAAGAGGAGCAGCAGGAGGAAGAGGAGGGTCCTTTACTCTTCTCTGAAAGGCATCCAGCTGAGCATGGTAGTGCTGATAATGGCTGAGAGACCCACTGGTCCTTCAGCAAGCAGAACATGTTAGCTACACATCAAGGCCTAACAGTCACAACAACAGAAATAATAATCTCAGTAGTTTGATCATTTTAAGGATTATCTGGATGATAATATGCTTCACTCCCTGTTTTAGCACCAAAACTCAAGTCCTCCCATCCAAGTGATAGTTCAGATATTTTGAAGATGGGTTGTTATTGCCATGGAAAGCACTTCAGATGACCTCATACTGGAGAAAATGGAAATATTAGTTTTAATGGACTGGCCATCTGCAGAGTGGGGACGAAACCAAACTGGACTACTGCTGTTTTAAAACAGCTCATGTCATAGCAGTTTATGTCAGCCTTAAATAATAAATATTTATGTTCCTCTCAAGTTTTTAAAAAAATCCTTCTTTCGGCTGCTCCTCCTTCAGGAGTCACCACAGTGAAGTTTTTTAAAAAATCCTTCTTTCGGCTGCTCCTCCTTCAGGAGTCACCACAGCGAACTAAGTCACACGAAGACTTGGCAGTCATTTTTACGCCGGATGTTCTTCCTGACACAACCACAGACACCGAGCTACCACAGCCTCTGTGTGGAGCAGAGCTGCTGTCTAGGGCGCCTGGGGGAGCAGATGGTGGGGGTTAAGGACCCTGCTCAAGAGCCCAGAGTGGAGCGAATGAGGGTGGAGGCAGGTGTTGGTGCTTCACCTATCCCACCCATATTTTGATGTTGTCGGTCCGGGAGTTGAACTGGCGATCTTCCGATTACAGGCCCACCTTCTCTAACCTCTGCGCCACCCCTCCCCTGTTCCTGTCACGTTAATAATATACAGTTAGTCTCATAAAACACTTGCCTGGACCACTTCCTGTAGGAACATCATAAAGTTTCCAGCACATCTGTGTTGTGCAGAACTGAAGGCTGTGAAGGTTGAGATGAAAGCATTTGGATGAACCTCTCTAAAACCTTCAGAGCACAATCTGTTTTAAGATCGCAGCTATACAGTTGAGTCCAGGTGGCATTCAAACGAGCGCTCATCGTTCCTATCAACAATGAACTCCATTTCTCCAAACTAATGTCATTTAAAGAGCTATCTACATTTGATAAGACACTATTTGTTCAGAGCCCACATGAAAATATCTCAGCTGTCATTTAAAGATGTTTTAATCATTTAACATTTACGTTTTCACTCACTTCTGGTTCCCTGCAAACCTTCTGTTGGCGGCTGGCTGTGCTGCTCCATGATGAAGAGGCTGCAACAAACATCAGAAAGAACAAATGACTTTAAAACAGCCTTAAATATAGGCCGGTTCAGCTTTTCATTTGGTACTGTACATGTCCAAGTTTTACATCAGATTCATTAATCAACTCATTTACAGATGATCACTGATGCCTTTTTAATCTAAAATTCACTATTTGTGCCTCTAAATGTTGTGTCAGTATTAATTTTGTTAACAGTTGTGCTCTGAGTCCCATCTTTATGTGTAATCATCTCAACATAATGCTCAGAAAGGACACAAACATAACAAAAACAGCATAAACTCAACTGTATGCCTGAACCATTCCAGGACCTTTAACTGGTTCTCCTCAAACCAGTGGAGTGTTTTTCTGCATTGAGTTTAGGGTCATTGTCCTCTGTCCCAGTGTCAGATCTCTGGAGGACACTGAACGTCTCCATCTTGTCTCTGTGTTTTCATGTATTCATGTTGGAATATGTATTTAATTCGCTCGTCAATGAAAACACTTTCTGGGGTTGACTGACAGCAACTGGACTCAGACGGTTATAGGAAGTCCAGAATTGAAACATTTTGTCTTCTTCCTATAGTTTGTCCAGTTCCTATAGTACAGCTGTCAGTGAGCTCCCAAAGCCCATCAATGCCACTCTGACTTCCACCCACTCGGGTTACATCCTGAGCTGGGACCCATGACCAGGAACCTTCTACAGAGTCAGCACTCAGACAGACAGGTGGATGTTCACCTGGACCCAGTCAGCTAAACCAGTTCTACTGTCAGTCATTACCTAAACTCCTCCTTCTCAACATTTTAAAGGCAGAAATTCCTGCTTCCTGTCTGTCTCTGAAGGAGCAACCAGAACCGTCTGCCAACACGTTCAGAACCCGCAAACCTGCAACCTGACGGAGGTGTTCAAAGACCCATGGAAGGAATATGACACAGTCAGATCTCACCTGGAGGCTCAGCCAGAGCTCACAGCCGGCAGAGGTCCAATATAAACCAATGGGTGAGCGGTAGAGCCGTCTTTTCTAACCCGAGCCCGAAGCCCGGCCCAGTCCAACTTTGGGCCGGGTCAGGCCATAATAATGTGCTGGATGAGCAGGTCGGCATCAGGCTTTTGATTGCTTCAGCTGATGATACAATTATGGCAACATGGCTTCAATTCAATTCAATTCAAAAATACTTTATTAATTCCAGAGGGAAATTAAATGTTGTTGTAACTCATCATCCTGGTTTCTTTAAAGAGTTCTTCTAGATGCTGATGCTGTGGGCAGGAAGGATCTCTTGTAGCATCTGTCCTACAACAGATCTGAACAATTCTCTGACTGAAGACACTCTGTTGTTCTGGTGAAGATTCTCAGTCATCCAGGACATGATGAATTCAAAAAGCGTTCAATACAAAAACAACTGGACTTTATTTGTAACAGAAGACGTTTCGCTCCTCATCCGAGGAGATTTCTCAATTCAAAGAGCAGAGAGTGAGAGATACAGGTTATAAGGCTGAGTGAGATAAGACACACACACACATAAGACACACACACACACATATATGTAGATTGGCAGTTCACACCTAAAAACCTAAACAGTAGGTCTTTGTTCCTCTAATTCACAGTCGAGGC